CAGGCTCTGTGACCCACTTGCCCCACCAGGCTTCAGTACCAGAGCTCTAGTCTTAGTAAGGACAGCTAGGGTGTGTCTAGATTACACCTCTCTGTAGAAAGAGAGATGTAGATTAGGCACATCGAAATTGCTAACGAAGCAGGGATTTAAATATCCCACGCCTCATTAGCATAAACATGGCTACCGCTTTTTTTGAAACTTTTTTTTGAAAAAAAAAGCCAGTCATACCGCTTTTTTTGAAACTTTTTTTTGAAAAAAAAAAGCCAGTCAAGACGCAGCCTGTCGAAAATAAACCTTTTTCGACAGATCCTGTAAACCTTATTTTTTGAGAAATACAGGATCTGTCGAAAAAGGCTTTATTTTCGACAGATCAGCATCTAGACTGCTGTTTTTTCGAAAAAACTCCATAAAAAAAGCGTTAGCCATGTTTATGCTAATGAAGCACAGGATATTTAAATCCCTGCTTCATTAACAATTTCAATGTGCTTGATTTGTATCCTTCTGTCAACAGAGGGATGCAGTCTAGATGTAGCCCCATGTGGTTAGTTTTAAAATTGCTGTGAAAACATCGGTCTGTGGATCCAGGTCCTGAAATAAACTGCTGCAACTTTTTAATGTTTTCACAGGAGATCTACTCTAAGAAAGTAAAGATTCCCTCAGATCTCTATTCCTGTGTCTAAGAAAACATTTTATCCAGAGTGTCTTCATATATGCACAGGCATATAGTATACCCTGTCTGACTTCAGTGCATACTTTATTAGTCTATATAGTTTTCTTATGTGTCATGTACTTATCATAGATCCCAGAGTTCTAATGTAAACTCCATCACCATCATTTTTTTCTTTCAAAAAATAGTTTTTACAACTGATCACAAAAATATTTTGGATGTGTTGAAAGTTATTGAAAAATAATATCAATCACTTTTATTTTTCAGCTATTAATCTAGTACCCAAAATGTAATCTTAGACAAAGACTGGACCTCAGAACTGATAACATGCACCTGTTTTTTGAATATAATAAATTAACGTTTAGATTGATAATTTTGCTCATTCCATTTTAGAGATCAAATCAAGCTTGAAAAATTTTGAGTTGAATTCAGATTTCAATTCCCTGCATGAAAATTCAGGTTGTTATGACTGGAGATTTTAGTTTTGCTTATCTCAAAAACAGACTAAATGTAAATATATAAAACTACCACAATGTGTAAGTAATTTTTAAATTTAATGATCTTTAGAATTAATTGCTAAACTGTATGATGTTTCCCCACTCTGGCTTATCTCTCTAATGCCAGGTAGAGCATTATGTGTTGTGCAGAATATCTAAAGTTGTGGAGATTTTTCTTTATTTTTAATGTGTACTTTTCTAGAGTAATTGAAAGAAAGTTAACATTTGGTAAATCTTATCAGACTTTATTCTGCCACTATAATACAATGATAGACATAATGCTTGCATTTAGCTAGCATGTTTCATCCAAGGATCTCAAAGCACTCTATAAACAATTAATTAGGCCAAAATGCACTAATTTTGTGAGGGAGGTGGTATAGTATAGTATATCTTTTAAACATGTCAGCAGTGTCACAGATAAGTCAGTTAAGTTGCCCAAAGTCACATAATGAATCAGAGACAGCAACAAAGTTCAGAAATCCTGATGCCAAGTACACACATGATCTCTAAAGATAATCTTGATTTTTGTGGCTCAAAGTCTTTCCTGGAGTTATATATCAAAATTACATATGTGAAAAAGTGTTGGTGATTAGTACTATTAGTAACCTTGAAACACTTGTAAAAACATGCTTTGATATTTAATGCAAGAACAATCCTGAATATTTTAATCACTAAAACAACTTTGTCTTCCAGTAACAGGAGTTGCACATTTCTTTTAACATAAGTACTGTACATTTTAATTATGAATTGCCCTGAACTGCAGCAGTTTTGCTGTGTTATTTCTCTTATCATACATAGGAAATTTTACTCTACAAATGATCTTTCCAAGCAGAGATTTTAAGTCTCTGTGACATTCTTTGTTACTTGCTGTCATCTGAGAACACACAAGTTTATTGTAATTTAATAATGATGGTAAGAGTGGAAGACCCAAAAAGAATAATGTTTTACAGTTTGATTCTTTATATAATTTGTAATTTTGATCTCTTTTTCTTGTTTGTCTCATGGACAAAAACCCAATATAAAGCAATACAATTATACTGTACAGCAGTGGTCCCCAACACGGTGCTAGCAGGCGCCAAGGCGCCCACATGCCCATTTGTGTGCGCCCGCCAAGTGCTAGGGGCTGGCCTGGCCCCGGGCACGTGGTGCATTCATCGGGGCCGGAGTCGGCCTGGGCGCATGGTAAACGCCGGCCCCGGGAGCACCGCGAATTGGCCGCTGGCGCCCCGGGCACGCGGTGCATTCATCGGGGCCGGAGTCGGCCTGGGCGCATGGTAAACGCCGGCCCCGGGAGCACCGCGAATTGGCCGCTGGCGCCCCGGGCACGCGGTGCATTCATCGGGGCCGGAGTCGGCCTGGGCGCATGGTAAACGCCGGCCCCGGGAGCACCGCGAATTGGCCGCTGGCGCCCCGGGCACGCGGTGCATTCATCGGGGCCGGAGTCGGCCTGGGCGCATGGTAAACGCCGGCCCCGGGAGCACCGCGAATTGGCCGCTGGCGCCCCGGGCACGCGGTGCATTCATCGGGGCCGGAGTCGGCCTGGGCGCATGGTAAACGCCGGCCCCGGGAGCACCGCGAATTGGCCGCTGGCGCCCCGGGCACGCGGTGCATTCATCGGGGCCGGAGTCGGCCTGGGCGCATCAGGGCGCTTGCGGGGGGGCCCCCGCCCCCGAGCACGCAGCTATGGAGGGGGGGGCGCCCCCGGGCGTGCATGTGTCCCCGCCCTCTGGCGCCCAGCAGCCTCTAAAGGTTGGGGACCACTGCTGTACAGGTATGCAGATACTAGAATAAAAACCAGATGTTACCTTCAGGAGAGATTTCTTTCCAGGGATTTGGTGGGTACATGAAAGCGGCATTCTGGATTTGATCATGAATGTCTTCATCTTCATTGAATGGAAAAGTACCACTAAGACTCACATAAATGATGACACCCACAGACCACATATCCAAAGATCTGTTATAACCTTTGTTTCTTAGTACTTCTGGAGCTAGGTAGGCTGGTGTGCCCACAACTGAACGCCTGAATGACTTCTCTCCAATGATTCGGGCAAAGCCAAAGTCGCAAAGTTTTACCTGAAACAAAGTGTATAGTAAAATCAACAAAAATAACATTTTAATTTTGTTTTACTCTCTGCCTACTTCAGATTCTTTTACAGTTCATTGCTGGATGGGGTTTATGGGTTAACTATACCTCTGGCCTCTCTCTTTTACTTTCTCCATGGACATCTCTTTCAAGTAACAAAATAGGCCTATGCTGTTCTTCTCTCAGAGGGGAATAGCACAATCCAACCCACCGTTGGCCCGGATCCCCATTTTCCCACCTCTACTTTCCTCACCAGGTCCAAGGAACTGTGACCACTAAATACACTCAGTGACACCAGATAACTTGTTCAAACCCAAGTATTTATTTATCCACAGGAACATAACAAGAAGAGAGAAAAGTATTAAAGCAGCAAAAGCCTAAATATTACTGCAAACCCTAACATTTCCTTCAAGCAGTTAGATAGGCCTAAGGTAGCATTGGTTTCTCCCCACTTTCCTGAGGACCAAGCTACAGCCTGCTTCTCTGCAGATCCATCTCTCCTTGTCTTTCCAGAGGCTCAGCTTTTAACCACTTTCAAGCTCCTAGTTTAAAGTTTCCCATGTGAAAGTCCCTGGGGTTTCAATATGGGTTCAGAATCCACAGACCCAGACAGAATCCCAATTCCACATTACTGTAAGCAAACATCAAAGGAGTTATCCTTTAGATATCCTTTAGCCTCAAACGGAATGACCAAACACAAAGCTCTCTCTCTCTTTCTAGAAATATATAATCTATCTATATAGAAACACTAGCAGGTGAGGCCTATCATTGACCAGTCAAAGTCATTTTGCATAGATTACACTTATAATAGGAAAGTTCAAGCCTCATGGCTGCCATTGGCAGTGGTTTGCCATTTGAGAAACACTTATTTAAACCTTTCACCCAGCATATTCCGATGTAAAACATTCCTTTGTTCAACATCTTTATTAATGACCTGGATGAGGGGATGGATTGCACACTCAGCAAGTTTGCAGATGACATTAAGCTAGGGGGAGAGGTAGATAAACTGGAGGGCAGGGATAGGGTCCAGAGTGACCTAGACAGATTAGAGGACTGGGCCAAAAGAAATCTGATGAGGTTCAACGACAAGTGTAGAGTCCTGCACTTGGGATGGAATAATCCCAAGCATTGTTACAGGCTGGGGACCTAATGGCTAAGTAGCAGTTCTGCAGAAAAGGATGTGGGGATTACAGTGGATGAAAAGCTGGATCTGAGTCAACAGTGTACTCTTGTTGCCAAGAAGCCTAATGGCATATTAGGTTGCATTAGGAGGAGCATTGCCAGCAGATCTAGAAAAGTGATTATTCCCCTTTATTCGGCTCTGGTGAAACCACATCTGGAGTACTGTGTCCGGTTCTGGGTACCCCACTATAGAAAGGATGTGGACGCATTGGAGAGGGTCCAGTGGAGGGCAACTAAAATGATTGGGGGGCTGGGGCACGTGACCTATAAGGAGAGACTGAGGGATTTGGGTTTGTTTAGTCTGTGGAAGAGAAGAGTGAAGGGAGATTTGATAGCAGCCTTCAACTTCCTGAAGGGAGGTCCCAAAGAGGATGGAGAAAGGCTGTTCACAGTAGTGACGGATGGCAGAACAAGGAGCAATGGTCTCAAGTTACAGTGGGGGAGGTCTAGGTTGGATATTAGAAAAGAATCTTTCACCAGGAGGGTGGTGAGGTACTGGAATGAGTTACCTAGGAAGGTGGTGGAATCTCCATCCCTAGAGGTTTTTAAGTCTTGACTTGACAAAGCCCTGGCTGGGTTGATTTAGTTGGGATTGGTCTTTCCTTGGGCAGGGGGCTGGACTTGATGACCTCCTGAGGTCTCTTCCAGCTCTATGATTCTGTAAAAGTAGTGCATTCAGCTAATTTAAGTGGCAGGATTGTTAATGCAAAATTTGGTATCTGTAGGTAATCACAAAGTATGACTTTAGTTTGCACAAACAAATCCACAAACTCTTCAAAATGCATGGTAGATTCATGAAATTAATACAGATATTTCCACAAACATGGACTAATTTTCAAAGTGACACTGTGTGACTACTGTGGCTGTGTGTGCAAATGACCAATTAGCATACCCCATACTATCTATTTGTATGAGTAAAACACTTGATTTGCACGCATTCTAGTTGTGTACAAGGTCCAATTGTCTAAAAGTTTCTGTATACACAATGGCCTGGCTGATTTTTTTTTTTAAATCAGAGATTATATTATTACAAACATGAAAAAGCTTGGCGGTTAAGATTTTAAAAATTAACTTATGATTTTGGATGTCTCTTGGGGCTAACCATAACCAAATGCACACACAATCACTAGTCATTTTTGAAAATCCTGGTCTATGCAAGTAACAATAGCTAATATTATATAATGTCAGGCTTCTGAATGTACATCAATATTTATATACAAAGAGAATATTCTTCTTGCCTGTGGGAAAGGATCGGCTGATGCTAGTAGTACATTTTCTGGCTTGAGATCACAATGAACAATATTTTTAAAGTGAAGATGCCTCAAAGCCACAAGGATCTATGAAGAAACAAATCATTTACACTCAGTTTAGAATTTCATTCTCTCTACTAATTTTTAATTTCCATATGATTCTTTACAGTAATATAAATAACAATATACAGAGAATCATTGATTACACTTCAGGGTTTATTTGAGAAATGCACAGTCAAAAAGAAACATAAATATTACCAAACTTTCAAAAAATAGTAATTACAGAATTTTATAAATACTCTTTTATAGAGTGCCTGAAAGTTACCTAAATGCTTTACCACATGAAATGAAATAACTTCCTGCTCCAAATAGTTTATATTCTAAATGAAAACACAAATCATATTTTTTTCAGAATTCCTTTCCTTTACTTCTGGAGTCCTATTCCCCCCTCCCCCCGTGAAATTTTGGGACTCCAAAAATGTTTCATGAGTTGGCTTGTAAAGTTCTCTTCAAGCTCTACATTTTATAATTTTCAAAACGCACATGTAAAATTTTCACAGCAGTATCATGGGAACCTTTTTGTTGTCAATTATAGTTTGTGGAAAGAAAATAGGAAGGGAGGTCTAAATCCGCAAAGCAACACAGGCATTGCAATGGTCAACATGCTCAGTGATTATGGTGTTCACCTGGGATAGGGGAGACATTAGTTCAGTTCCTCCCCACCCTGTTTTAAAAGAAAACAATATTTGAACAGGTGAGTATCTTAATCAAGGGAATATAGAGTCCTTCTGTCTCTGGCCCAATTAATACTTAATACAGCAGAACAGCTTCAATAAGAGAGGCAGAGAACCCTGCATCAGAATTAATTAAGTCCAGGGGTTAGGCACTCACTGGAAAGTAACTCCTGTTTAAATCTGTCCTTGCCCACCCAACTATTTTATATAGAGGTCAGGCATGCTCAGAGCATGCCTACTGGATTAGGCCCTGCAGGGAAGATAAGCAGCAGGTAAATGAAGGTGTCAACACAGACCTTAATGATACATTATCAGGTTTAAAAAAAACCCAAGTTTTATAAATTATGACAAAGTAAAATGAAGCAAACAATGATAACACTTCTGTTAAGTATCTTTCTGGCTCTGTAGTTATATTCTTACCTGGGTAATTAAAAACTTTGTTATTCGCTCTGGCAATCTGCCTTTTTCACTTGACAGGATCATCTCCAGCATATCTCCATGGAGTTTTTCCATAACAACAAAAACTCTTTCTGGTGTTTCAAACATACACTCTAGATTTACTACCCCAGGATGGTGAAGATTCTGTGAAAGATAAATATGGCAATCAAATCAAATGAGGTTTTCCCTAATACTATAGTGGGCTTTATTTCTCTATAGCTTTATTTAGTTTTAAAAACAGATTGTCTGGTAAGTATGGGCCAGGCATACAAGTTGTAGAGACTGTTTCTTGGGGATGTAGTATTAGTAGCAACATCAGCCTGGGTGAATTTAAAAGCATTCCAACAAACATGTCATTTTCCCTATTGTACATGAGGGTCCAAAATTAGAGAGATTTCTACCCCAATGTATATCATAAGGGTTACAAGTAAAATATCTTTGAGTTAAGTACGTATTACAACATATTATTAAAAACAGCAGAACAGGTACATTTTAGGCATAATTTCAAGGTCTAAAATTTTTTGTCTCCCATATATGCAAACTTTCAACTCACATTTTACATCCATAAAATGGTCATTAAATTTAACTATTGCCCCATCAAGTTCAGATTAGTTTCTATGGTGGCCTCTCAGAATGCATGGTCTCTAATCTCATTTTATTATATTATTTTAAATATACTGGTGATTGAGGCCTCATTGCTCATCTAGATAATGAACAAACATATAAGACACAATATTTCTGTGAAAAAGGTTTTAAGATTTTGAATGGTAATTTAGGGAAGGACCTTTTAGAAGAAAATAGACCATATCTTCTAGGGCATGCAGTGTGCAGAAAACCAGTGCTGCAACAGGCCAATCTGTCCTATGAAGAGGAGGGCAGAAAGGTAAAACTAAAACCAAAACAAACTAAACAAAAAGCTTGCTCTGTACCTAGGAGCTTTGAAATGTTTACTGATGGTGGTCTGTGAGCTAGACAAAACACAGTGAGTGCATCTATACTCTACCTGCAGGTCAAAATAAGATACGCAATTTGAGCTACACAAATTGTGTATCTTGTTTGATCTAATTTGGAAAACCCGCTATTCTGAAACATCCCTTAACTCTCGTGGAACAAGGTTTTTAGGGATGTTGGACTAGAGAGCCCGTTATCTCGACATCCATTTTGAAATAACCAGCTGGTTCAAAAGACGCAGAATAGCTATTTCGGGATACCTTGGGGTTTCCGGAAACAGTGCCGTAGTCTAGACGTACCGAATGTGACTTATGATTTCAAGCACAGACACGTATCAGGATTGAATGACACAGTGATACACTTATTACTTCATCAATGGAAAGCACATTGACTGGGCAGCTCACAATAATAAACCTTTGCAGCATTTAAACGTATTCCTTTATTTCAGGCTTTTTACAAGGATGCTGATTAGACAAGTCAGTAATATTTTGGTAAGAAGAATTATTTAAAGCAGTTGTTTTCAAATCTTTCTAAAAAAGAAGCATCACTTAACACATTTAAGATATTTATCCAGGACTTCACTGAACCATTCAAACAAAATTAGCTATCATCCAGATTGGATCATATGAATTTTACATCACGATAAGTGAAGTTAATACAGTAAATAAATGGTAATAAATAAAAAATACCTGTAAAATTGCAACCTCATTACGAAGTTGGCTTTCTTGTTTAGTTGGAAATCGTAGTTTGTCGATGATTTTAATTGCAACATCTCTTCCTGTTTTGCGATGTTTTCCTGCACATTATTAAAAAATACATCAATTAGCATGATTAGAGATGATAAGCATTTGATTTTTTACATCTCATCCTCACAATATTTTAAAAGGGCAACAATCAAGCATTTGCAAGAGAAGGCTTGTGATGAGTAGAATTGTGAAAGGCATCAGAAGATTTTCTTTAAGCAATTGAACATTTCTTAAATAAATCATACTTTGACAAAGCTGTTCAAACACATAATATTGACTTTGGCTTTACCAAGATATAAAAAGGTACCTCTGTGGTTAGACCTTAATAATTCAACTTTATGACTTTCAGACCATGGACTCAAAGCTGCAAGATTCTGAACCTTATGACTCCAACCCTGCAAAGCATTTCAATAATCCCATTGAAACTACTCACATGCTTAAATGCTTCAATGGATCACCATTTTGCAGAATTAAGCCCTATGTATTTTACATGTGATTCACAAATAGACTCTCACAAAGGTTTAAAAATATGAACATACTTCACTAAAAATCATTCCAAATTAGCTAATGTGCCCACTGTTTATTTCTCACAGCACTAAATCTCAATTGGATAATTTTTTGGTAAAGGCTGAAAAATAAACAGGAAATACAACTTTATGAGGTTGATTCAGCTCCATTCCTAAGCATGAATCTCTAACACCTTATTTCTTACTGGTTGCCCTATATTAAAAATCCCTTTTCTTTCTCTCCATTGACATGACATTCAATCCATTATTAGAACTAACTTTCCAATTATGTTTTGATATCTGTTTGCCAGAGGGTAAGTCATATTGTACTATGTTTGTACTAGTACTATTGTACTATGTTTGTACTATGTTTGTGACACAGTTTGTGAAACTGATTATTTCCCCACCCTTCTGATATTTCAATGAAAATAATTTCCCATAACATGAAGTTGTTTTTAATCTAAAAATGATTTTGTAAAAATAGCAATGGCATGGTATAAACATTTACGTTTTATAAGCAAAAATATTTTTTTTCCCCATAAATGACAGCCCTGTGAAGGCAAGTCAGAATCTTATAGTCAAGCTGTGCTCTTTCTGGCTTCTGTTCTATTACCAGAAAAGACCCTGCAATTAAAACTCAGTGAACAATTTGTTTATGATTTGCAAGCCAGAAAAGAATCCTATTTACTCTCAAAAGTACAACATATCAAAACTTAAATTTGTCATTAATGTGGTAGATACGACTAAAAACAGGTAACTTGAATAAACAAATTGTGATTTTTACACAGAAAAGGGTATTTTCCATCTGAAATTTGGCATATTATGTCTGTTGCCAGAGGTTTTCCTTTTTGACAAACTCGAAGTGGAACAGATGAGTAACTCGTGAGACATGTAATTTTAAAAAAAACAGTATTTCTCTTTTGAAAAAGGTGTGGCTTTTTCTCTCATTATTCAAGAAACTTTTGTCTGGGAACTTCAGGTTAACTGCATTCGCTAAGCCCTATGGAGAATTTGTGCATAGTATCTGTGCTGTGTAGAGACGTTGAAGCTGCCAGTTACAAGCAGGATAAAAATAAAGTAACCGATTGTAAGCTCAAACTAAATAAAATAGGTTTTTTCTTAGTATGAAATAGATTAAACAGACAGCTAATTTTCTGAATGGTACAGATTCATTTTAAAATTAAAACAACTTCAATGTTTAGGAAATGAGGGACTTGTCAGAGGGACTCATTTATTTAATTAAAAAAAATATATTAACAAAAAACTGGTCCTACCTCCATAAACAATTCCAAACTGTCCCGATCCCAGCACTTCATCTGGGAAGATTTGGTATACTGTACTAATATCCTGTTGGTATGAATATAATGCATATTATACACTGAAATATGAAAAAGTCGTCTTTTGAAATATTTGTCAATTGAACTAGCATATTTTTAGAATAGAACATTTTAATAAAATGTTAGTGTAATTCAGAATCTTGGGGCATTCAGATGGATCTTCTAAAGCAAAAAAGCTCACTGTGATGACAGTGGGGAGGGCAGTACCCTTAAACTAGACAAAATTGGCTCATCAGTTTTATGTGATGAGTAGAGATGCTGAATGTAGGGGATCCTTTAAAAAAAATTCTGACTATTTCCTTGCCTACACTCAGGCTACATCTATACTGCAAGCCTTTTGTGGAAGAGCAAATGCAAATGGAGCACTCATTTATATATGCAGTACTTTCATTTGCATTTCCTCTTCCTTTCCCTTTTGTGCGAGAGTTTTTTGCGCAAAAAAAGCATTTTTGTGCGAGAGTTTTTTGCGCAAAAAAAGCGTTGTGTAGACAGCGTCTTTTTGCACAAAAACCTCCTTTTGCACAAGAGCTGTTCTTCCTCAGAAAAAGGGGGTTTTATACAAAAAGGAACTGTCTACATAGTGCTTTTTTGAGAAAAAACCTCTTGCAGAAAAGGGAGAGGAAGGGGAAATGCAAATGAGAGCGCTGCATATTCAAATGAGTGCTCCATTTACATTTGTTCTTCCGCAAGAGGCTTGCAGTATAGACATAGCCTCAGAGACAACAGTGTCAATAAGTTGTGAGCCTGAGAAAAATACTAGGTTTCCTCAAACAAAAGACGGACTATGCAGCACTTTAAAGACTAACAAGATGGTTTGTTAGGTGATGAGGTTTTGTGGGCCAGACCCACTTCCTCAGATCAAATTGTGGAAGAAAATTGGCATGACCATATATACCAAAGGGTCATGCCAATTTTCTTCCACAATTTGATCTGAGGAAGTGGGTCTGGCCCACGAAACCTCATCACCTAATAAACCATCTTGTTAGTCTTTAAAGTGCTGCATAGTCCGTCTTTTGTTTGAGGAAACCTAGTAACTTTGGGCTTCAACTTCTTTAAACTTCTTCCTCAGCTAAGAGATGTGCAGAATGAAAAGAGAGCTTTCCACAATGTTGGGGTATTGAGTGAACTTCCTCTCATCAATGCCTGGTACCCAATTGCAGGGTAGTGTAAGAGACTTGTGCAAATGCTCAAGTTTAGTTCCATGTCTCTATTTTCAGGCTGTTTTATTGATAAAGAGAAGATGCAGAAAGATTAAAAGGGATATAAAACTCTAACAGTCTCTGTTCCTTCTTTCTGCAGCATAACAGAGGGAGAGTCCTTTCCTGCCTAATATGGAGACCTACTGTAGACTCTCCTTGATCTCGGATCTCTCTGATCTGTAATTTAGGTAACAGGTGCCAGAGCCGTGAAGCCATAATAGTATAGATTTCAGTGCAGCTGCCCTCCCCCCCCACAAGTAAATACCCAGGGTTCCAAACATCTTGTTCAGCCTGTGCTGAAGTCCATGGTGCTAACTTAAAGCTAGCTTGAGTATGTTTACATAAGCTGTAATCATACCTCACAACTGCAATGTAGATATACCCTTAAGAGTCAGGAAGCCTGCATGACACATACTTTTTCCTAGTCATGTGCCCTGTTGACTACAGTTTCCTGTTTTACATAACTCTAGGGCTGTAACCAGTGCACTGAGATTTGCACCCATGGGCCACAGCTCCAGGCCTTGCTACAGCTCCATTCTTGGGAAGATGTGTAGAATGTCTACTCTGTCTCTGGCAACAGAAGAACATGTACAGGTTGAGATTCCATAATCCGGTGTTCCCTTGTGCTGCAACATCCCTGGTCCAGCATCATAAGGGTGACCCTGACAGGTTGGGCCAAGAGTGTTTCCAGACTATGGGACTAAGACAGCGGAGCCCCAAGTGGCAGCAGAAGCTCTCAATCACTGGGAACAGGTTGGCGGCACCAGAGCAGCTGGGTGGAGGCCCAGGTGGCAGCAGAGTTTCTGGGGAGATCCCCAAGCTCCAGGTGGTAGCAGGAGCTGCCAGGAAAAGTCCTGAGTTCCAGGCGGCAACATGAGAGCTGCCAGGGAGAACTCTGAGCTCCGGAAGGCAGTGCACCCCTATCCTCTAGCAGAGTTAAGGGGGGGAAAGCAAAGCAAACCAGAGCCTCCCCACTTGTGGGGAAAGCACAGAGCTAGGGGTGTGGGGGGCGGGAGCAGAAGAGCCCCCCTCCACTGTGTGGAGAGCAGAGCTTCTGGTGGTAGTGGAGCAGCCAGGAGGAAATCTGAGCCCGGGGTGCATTGACCTCCCATGGTCCGGCAAATTCCCTGGTTCAGGACCGACAGTGTACCAGACCAGGGAGGATCAACCTGTATTTACTAAGAATTGGTATGTATTTACAGGGGTATATTTTGCACTGTTTCTAGAAATACACCTAAGCAGGGCAATTTTACCTGGCTCACCTTTAATAATGAGCATACTGCAACAAGTGAACTTAAGCTACCCATTCAACTAAGCTGCTAAAATGTAATTCTTCTGTCTGAAGCAAGGAAGATTTTCCTTAAGAGCTAATTGTATTTCTGCAAAAAATCACCAAGTGAAAAATGGCTGATGAGCAATCCACTCCAACATTCCTCTTGCCAAAAGAGATCAATTTCTTCACAAGCTTTATCGTGTGTTTAGCACCAGCGTTCAGAGAATACTCACCACATTTTCCTGAATCTGGCAGTTTGATACTGAAATACTGATGGATATATCCCCTGGAAAAAAAGTAAAACAAATACATTAGAGAATTGTGCTTTTAGTTGACACACACACTAAATATCTCTTTCTATTACATTATATTAATAGCTAATGACAATCCAGTCATTTGATCAATCGGTCATCTCATTGAGCTCCAAGCCAAGATGGCATGTAGCCCACATTTATATGATTTGAGCAATTTGGTTTCTACTTCCTTTTGGATATGATTTCAGAATCTGACAAAATTTCAGGATTTAAATCTTTGTTGTTATTCCTGTTTATCATCTCTTCAACACTTTAAATAATTCCATTGTATCCTTGTAATTTGCACCCTTCAGGTATAATACTTGAGTATGTAAATATCATTGCATGTAGGGCAAATCATTACTATTTATTATTGGTTTATGGTGTTATCCATAATACCCAGGGTGCTTTCCAGCCCTTCAAGAAGGAACAGCCATACAAAGTCTATATATTGTCTTGAGTGGCTTGAAGCTGAGTTTTCCCTTTCTAAAGATTAGATTTGACTAACTGAAGACAAAGATTCCTATTCTATTCTATTGTATATTGGTTCATATAACACTCTGAACACCTTTCAACAGACTTTTAAGCAGCATGTCATGTGTGGTTCATTCCGTTTCTCATCCTCTGCCCCTGGGGAAAATTGAGTGTGCAGTGGAATGTTTTAGTCTGTGATGTTTTGTCTTTGTGTGGGTTCAAAATATACATTCTACTCTGTATTTACATTAGAAAAGGCAGGTCAAAAAAAGTATGCTTTGCAATATGAGTGGAAAGTGGTGAGGATGGTACAGTCTAGTTCAGTGTTTTTCAACCAGTGGTGGGAGTACCCTTGGGGGTAATTGAGAAGTCTGGGGGGTATGTCAACACAAATTAAATTTGGAGAGAACTGCATTTTTGTTTTAAGTTTTACAGAGATTTATTATTTTTGTACTTTTTACACCCAAAAATTTCACTGCTCGCCCGGCTACAATTAAGTTATTTCAACAAATGTGTTGCAATGGTAGAAAATTGTTTTGTCTGTCTGAAAACTGTAGGTACTGGGGGTACTTATAATTATTTTTTTTAAAAGGGATACTTTATTAAAAAAAAGATTGAGAAACACTGGTCTAGTTGTTGTTGGAGTTCATTCCATAGTCTTGGATCAGCCCCCGAGAACACAAAGTCTCCTGAGAGCAGAGAGTTTTACCCTTGTAAAAGTTCTATTATGCCTAAGGACTGGTGTTGCTGAGGAGATGCCATGCAGTGTTTTGTGGAAGCTGGAGTTTCCTAAGAGCTGGTAGTTTTATGCTTCTTTAATATAATATTGATGGGGAGTGACAAAAACGTGTCTAATTAAGGTGAGATAGTCTTCTTCAAGGATGGGATGGAGTCTTCTAGTTAGAGAGTATAAAAATGTTACTCATTGATGCCCCAAGGTGAGTTCAAGAGCAATCCAAAGCTACAAATTGAACTAATTGCAGATGTTTCCCTTCGACCAAAGGAGACTGCATTATAGCAGTTGTGCTTAGGTTGAGCTTCCATTTCCTGTTCTTTCATCCATGAGGTTTTTTTTTCCAAGCACCGGGCCATGTGGATTATAGTTGTACAAGTCATATGCAGTGAAAGGTAAGTAGAGCTTGGTGTCATTCGTAGACCAGTGACCTAAAAAGTTGAAGAAACTTTATCCTGTTCACAGAGATGTAGGGATGAGCCCCCCAAACAGCTCAGCAGATGTTTGTGTTGGCATCAGAGCTAATATCACCTGAAGAATAGGCAGGACTATAGGGCTCTATATGGAGCTGACACAGACTGCTGGCTAAGCCAGAGCTCTGCCACTGTAGCCTGGCTGAAGAGGCTGATGGCCACAGGTGAGCAAGCCCAGGCCTGAACGGCTATTAGAAACAGCTATGGGCCTCACTGGGAGAGGGCTATATAAGGCAGAGGAAGGAAGCCAGGAGGGGGCAAGGAGGAACCAGGGTGTGGCTGAGTGTGCACCCAGGCAGATGGAGGAGCTGACTGAATGGCCTGTAAGCTTTGTAAATAGAAGGTGGTGGGAATTGACAATAAAAGCACGGGTGACTGCACCAGAAGGCTCTCTGGCTGATTTGTGGACCAGAAGGTGTTCCAGACCAAGGGGCCTGATGGGGACTCCGCCACAGGAGCTGTGTGATTGTCTTTATCTGGCTCTCCTCACCACCAACCCCTGACAGACAAAAGCTGATAAGACTCCCTGAGAAACATGTGTGCTTTGGTTTGAATATGGTTGGTTATTCATGTCAGTAACCCACATGCTGATGAGGATGATGCACTTACTTAAGGAAAAGCTCTAAAGATTCTTGTGCATTATTTGCTCGCGAATGAATTTGTTTATTGAATATTCACACATCCATGCAAAAAGCCCCAAAATGTTCCAATGAGAACTTACAAACAGCATAAAACATGTGGATGGCCAGCTCCTCCATAAATCAGTATATGCGCACAGCCCTATTGACTTGAGTGGAATTTATGCCCATTTACATCAATATAAGATCTGGTCCATATATATTTTAATCCACTGCCTTTATGTAAAGATAGAAGTAGGTAAACTTGCAACTTACTATGCAGGCTGGGTCCTGCCCCAGCTGATGCCCCTTTAGGAATGACGGGCATTAGAGCATGCTGAATTGCCATCTCCCACATTCTTGCAACATCCAGACCAATACCACTGGTGAGAACACTGTTATTCAGTGGAACACTTGAGACATTTTCTAGGTTTTCTCCAACATAATACACTATATTTGCTGTGGTTATTTCAAAGCAATGGGGATTGGCATCTTGTGACAGTAAAGTAAAGTTTTTTGCAGGTTCCAGGGACAAAATTTCAGACAATGGAATTTCCTAAAGAGAGAAGATATTTACTTTTAAAATTCAAATATATCAACATGCTTCCAAATAAAACTAAAAACATGGACTACATTTAATTTTTGTATGGTATTAGTTGTGATTTTTAACCATGTGCAACTAAAAGCACTGAGGGTATGTCTACACTACAAAGTTAATTCGAACTAACAGATGTTAGTTCAAATTAACTATGATAGGCACTACACATGCAAACCGCTAGTTTGAACTTAATTCGAACTAGCGGAGCACTTAATTCGAACTAGGTAAACCTCATTCTATGAGGACTAATGCCTAGTTCGAATTAACTAGTTCGAATTAAGGGGTGTGTACCACTTAATTTGAACTAGTGGGAGGCTAGCCCTCCCCAACTTGCCCTGGTGGCCACTCTGGCCAACACCAGGGAAACTCGTCTGCCCCCCTCCCGGCCTCGGAGCCCTTAAAGGGGCACGGGCTGACTACGGTGCCCGTGCCAGGTGCAAGCCTGCCAGCACCCAGCCAGCAGACCCTG